TAGTGAAAGAAAATGAGTGAGTACTCTATATACATACCTACATTTTATTATTATCACAAATGCAGTACTAATTTTGAATTGAAAATATAATACTGCTATAAAGATAACCTAAATTTTTGATATTAAAATGAGCGATATTAAAAGTAGCCCTCTTTATATACACACAAACACACACACGCGTATAGTTTAAATTCTCAATTTAGATTCTCAATATGTATATATATATACTCGATTAACCGGACTAATTGTTGCCGTTAGGGATTCGGATAATCGAAAATCCGGATGATCGAATGTATGAAGAAAAGCGGGTTTTGTGCATTTGTAGTACATATGTACATACATAATGTTATGTGTTTATTAAAAACAACAATTTCAACGAAAATCAATGTTTATTAAGAAATTATTATTTTTTTAATAAACATTGATTAAATTCCATGAAGAGATTTAAATCTATATAACCATCCGTTACTTGCGACAAACGAGCCGCCGTCACCTAATTTTTTATTTAACTGTAATGCTTTTTTACAAAGCAAAGGGCCAGATATCATTTGCCCAGTTGATCGTTTTTGTAAAAACCAACAATACAAAGCGTCTTCTAATTGCCAATTTACTCGCGGACATAGGTCCTTATGTCCGGGACGGGGGTTTGTTAGCGCCTGATAGTAGATCGTCTTATCTCAAGCGGTGTGAAGCGACGATTAGTGAGGTGCGGGAGCGGGAGGCTAGCTGCATTTGTGCGCGCGGTCGGTCACCCCTAAAGTTGGGCGTTATAACATACAACAGATAATATATTTCATTATATATTTTTAATCTTACAACACATTAGAATAATGAACCATTGACTGTTATAATATTATATTCATTATCGTTAGAAAGCGTCATCTGTTTACGTTTACGGTCCAACCGTCGCGTCGGCCGAGACCAATGGGAGTCAATAAAATACTACCTACATTCATTATGCCACAAGGATTGCGTATAGCTTACACTAATTTAAACTCTAAGCTAACTTAATAAGAGCTTATTTTACTAACACAAACGCGAAGCCGGGTTGTTCATATATTGAAAGTCTCCTTGTTTTGTCTTAGACTTATGTTAATAGAGCGTGCCATTTGAACTTAAAGACAGTTAATTGGACAATAAATAATAAGTGACAAATTTGTAGAGCGTGGAACTGAGTAGTTGCGCGTCTTGTTAATATAATTGCCGTAAGGCCGCCCTGACGTATGTACTGCGCGAACCTGAGTTTTTTGCGACGCGGTTCGGTGATACAGTATTTTTCACAAATAGTGAGTACGTTATAACGCGGGTTCGGTTAAATCTGGTTTAATTTGATTGGATTAACCTAAGTAACTTGAATTAATATCAAAGAAAAAGAAATACTGCATAAATAAAATAAATAAATAATTATAATTGCATAAGTTGATACAAAATGCTATGCAATAGCTTTACCGCGGCAGTCCCCGAGTGCCACACGTCTTTTTTATTCTTAATTACCTTTATTTTATCTTATTTTGTGGACTCTAGGAAGTTGATAAATAGTTTCAGTGTTTCTGCCATATAGCGTAGGAAATTGCTTTAATTGCTCTCCACAAACAAGACTTACCAACCGTTATTGGAATCATTTAAATAGTTATTAGCAGTATTTAAAAATACCGAAATAATACCGAAATTTCGGTATACCGGTTATTGTAATTTCAATACCGGTATCAATACCGGTATTAAAATCATTCCGGTATTCCATGCCCTACATAGATTGTATTAGTTTAAAGATAATATTTTATTAACCATTCAAGCCTAAAAAAGTCCACTACTGAACAAAGTATTCTCGTCATATTGCCTCATAGGGAGGATTTTGCCATAGTTGCCACGCTTGGCAGGCGGGTTGGCAACCTCAGGATTTTTATTATTTGATTTTTTATCAGTTATATACTGCTGCTCATCTTCCGTTTGAATTTCACGCTGTCGCCTGTTACTACACCCAGAGAACGATATGGGGGAGTCGATATTCCTACACCGCCACTACACAGTTTTATTCATAGAATACTATAATACATACATAATAGAACGGGGGAGTGGGCGGAGCCCGTGTAGCCACTAAAATGTCACTAACATGTCAATTCACACGTATAAAAACGTCAACATCTCGTGTGAATATACGTGTGAATTGACGTGTTAGTACATTTATCGGTGCCACTCCCCCGTTCTATTTGTTGTAATTATAGTCTATGGTTTCAAAATTATTTGACTTCTTCTTCTAACTTGCAATTTAATTACGCTTGCAATTTGCGCATGTATACGTAATTTGCGTGATAATAAATAAAAAACCTCGAAATTATGCACAGGGTATCCTATACCTTTATAGAATTTTATATATATATATAATTGGAATCTCGGCAACGGCTCCAACGATTTTCATAAAATTTAGTGTCCAGAGAGTTTCGGGGGCAATAAATCGATCCAGCTAGGATTTATTTTTAGAAAATGTATTTTTGTCCGTGTTTTCAGGCAATGAATAACTGCTACAATATAAGAAGGTAAATTTTGACAATATGTTAATTATCGTAATAGCTCAAGTGGATATCGAGCGGTCGTAATATGGTAATGCCTTGGTTCGCGTCCCGTCTTCGGTCCTACTTTTTTCCTTTTCTTTTTCAAGTTCCCTTCTTTTGTGAGAAAATCTATTATTTCGAGCCCTTTTTCTTTTAATATTTTTAAAAATACGAACATTTTAATTAAACTAATTGCACTCATAATTTTTTATTCAAATAACCAGTTCAGTTTTTTCTATTATCTCAATAAGATCAAAAAATATTATTCATCAGTATGTACTTTGTATTTAAATGCAATTTAAAAAAAATCGAGCAAAGCTCGGTCATCCGGGTACTTATTTAGAAAATACCAAATTACACACTATTTACATATAAATATGTACTAAAATTTAAACGACTTTTTTAATGACGATTTTGAACATTAATCAAAAAAAAAAGTCTAAAATCTGTACCTAATTTTACTCAGGCTGTCAACACAGCGAATCGGGTTTGTAGTAGTGACAATACGACGTAATTGCTTGTATGTGTGCTCCCGGCGACGCCGACTCTCGTACAAAATAAGTTTGACAGCCATTCTATTGTGTATTATAGTAATCTGTGGTTTTATTAACAGTTGTAATAAAATATGACTAAAAGTTTACTTCAAAAGTCATTTTACTTCAAATTTGAAATAACAACCCAAGTGGGTACTACTAAAACTGTATAACAGAATTAGTTCACATTACATTTGTCTAATATTGATCACCATGTACAAAAAAGCTAGTTAACCAGCATTTTTACGTGGTAAAGCCACGCTTCGGTTATATTATGGTTGTAGCAGGAATGGGTCGGCTCGACCGGGGAAGGACCACGCTCTTACAGAATACCAGCGTAAAATATCAGCTTAATACTGGTGTGTTTTGTATGGTGAGTGTAGAGATCCGGAGACCCTTTTTTACTGGAAACAAGGCATTCCATGTTAGTCCTCAGGGGTGACAACGCATCTGCGTTTTGATTCTTAATCGAGCATAAATGTAAATGTCTATAGGCCACAGCATCCACATATCATCAGGTGGACTGTGTGCTCGTTTGTCACCCGTATTCTACAAAAAAAAATGATCATAAAGGTCTGTAGCCGCACTCAGAGTGGTTCATTAAATTAGTCCTAATTAGTACTTAACTAATTAGCATTAACTCCGTAAATTAACGGGACACCCCGGAGACATAATTAAAGAGTTCATTGGTTAATGACATCTTAAAGAATTCGTAAGACGGAGTAACGTTAAACGACTATCGATTCCAGTCATCTAGATTAAGTAAGAGATATCTAAGTTATTTCCAATTTTGAGTTTTACTTTTTGTTATTATTTAACTCTATAAAAATATTATAAAATATCATTACGAGTTTTCTTATATACAAAATTATTGAAATTACAACAATTGATGTGATAGGTATACGTAAGTACATATATTATACTTTAATGGTTACATCTACAGTACTTTTACAATAATTATACAATAGAATGACTTAATTCATATTATATTTGAGAACATGATGATTCATATTATATTTGAGATCATGATGATGAGGATATTGAAAGATGCATGAAGTCGATGGATGCGGGACCGTGCTTTGTGGCATTCCTTGGGTGAGGCCTATGTTAAGCTTATGGCTTATGATAGGCTGAAATAATGAGGATTATAATTGATGAATATTATTGATCACCATGTACAGAAATGGTGTTGAAGGCGGTTTTCTAATTATTTAAGTAAAAGATATCTAAGTTATTAGCAAATTTGTGTTGACCATATCGTTATTATTTAACTATATTAAAAAAAAAGAAATAAACGTTTATTTAACTAAATACTTTTTAAGATTATGAGCGTTGAAATTTTTTTCATTTGTTCACCAACTGGCGGTCAATGGTTGCTAAGTAATCGACTGAGTGCGAGTTGACTCATTTTCCTTGCCGTATTATCTAAAGCTGGATATACATGCAACGATCGATCGTAGCGATTTATATGTGCATGTTGTTTTTTTTTTTTGCATTTAATTACTTTTTACTTGTTGTGCTGCGTGATTAAACCGGAATAAAATGCATTTCTTTCTTTCTTTCATCTTCGTGTGAAATAGCATGTTAATAATTGCTTGTCACTTTAGTTCCAAACCAGTGAATGGAGATACTCATAAGCGTGGATTGTTTTTTACATATATGTTCCAACACTTGATATGTGTAGTAAATACAGACCAATATTTTTCAATCGATCGCTACGTGTAAGGCAAGCCTAATTAGCATATTATATGAAACACCAAATTACGTCTATTTTAGTCATCGCTGAAGCGGTAACGCCAGTGCACTCTGGCGGTCGCCGAGGCAGATACGTTTGTATCGCGTCGTCCGCGCAGTTTAATTTGTTTTAAGTGTTTTATTTCAATTCGAATTATACAAAAAGAAGGCGAATTTAAGAACTTTGAAGGTAAACAAACTAAGCACAACTGTCATATAATACTTTCACTAAATTTAACAATCCAACCATACTAATTCAAGTATAGGTTATGGTTTATTTACAACGGAAAAATTACTAAATTGGAACCAAAATTGAATGCTCAACTGAGTTTTGTAGTATTATTTTGCTTATAACATAATATTATAATGTAATGTCATCAATGCATTACTTAGTGGACTTAAAAATTAAAGTTAAGGCATGGATCTGACATTTCTTTCCAAAAATCTTCCGACCGGACCTTGGGTACCTTGCCTCCCCTCCCTACTTTGCTACGCCACTGGCTGAGAACAAGTAAATCAACATGTAAATTTTTTTTATTATACCATTCACTGATTCTGATCACTGATTTAAGCATTATTGTTACAAAATTTTGTTGATTTTATTGATAAACAAATCAGTTAATTTTATGTATTTATTTAAAACTATTTACACACTTGGCATGTAGGTAGATGGACTTTATGTCTGAGGCATTCTCTACTAGACTACATTAATGTTAAAAATATCATATTTCCAGGATTCAATTATAATTTTCAAATTATATATTTATTTCGTATATGTAGTGCAATTAATAACGCACACAAGCACACAACACGTTCAACACATTCAGTTCACGTCATAAAATATTATGTCATCAATGGATTTTGCTTTTGGGTTATTCCTAGGGTTGCTTTTTTTTTTGAACAAATATAGTATGTTCCCAAAAAAATATGCTAAAATAAAGTACTTTTGGGAAATTCAGGAGAAAAAAGAACACATTTATTTTTAATCTTTATGCATTTTTTCATATATATTTGTTAATGTTCTTTGCATTGATCTATACCTTTAAAATAATTATAGGGATCTGAGCAATTTAGATACACATTAAAATCAATTAATAATTAATTTTTAATCAAATTAAACTTCCTGAATTTCTTTCTTCTTTCAATTTTACATTCATGACGGAAAAAATTATTTCCATAAAACTCACTTATTCCAGACTTTCAATCAAAGTTAATATAAAAAAAGGCGACAGTAGAATTAGGGATAAAATATAGTATTTTTCGTACCATATTATTTTTCTATAATATATAGTACAATTGACTGAAATATAGTACGACATTATATATTATACTACGGGTAGCAACCCTAGATGTTCTCTTTAGCGCAAGACCTTAAAATTATAACTCAAATATGTAATTGAGTGAAGATAATACACGAGGCAGCCATAAGACTGCTGATGAAATATAGCCATAACGCAAAATCGTAACATTTCTTCTTAATTAACATGTCAATTGTATACATACACACAAATTGAACCTGCAAATGTGTGTGTTTGTATGTGATTATTAATGTCTATTGTGGAATAATTAATTGAGCATATCAAAATATTTCAACTGTGTGGCAGTTCCACATTATTCTGTAATTTGAGGCGCCAATAGACTATTTTATTGTTACAGATACGACAGTCTGTGTGACAAACATTATAGGTCAAATAAATCTCAAAGCATTCATTCATTCAATACAGCTCTTCAAGTCTAGTCGCGTACCTGTCCGACACTGCCACTCGAGAACCTTTCCCCATCGGTTGTTGGTTGTTTTTTGTTACCCGCTTCCTCAGATTATTTGACCAGCTATTTCCACATCAGCATACAGATCTATTGGCTATTGGGCTATATTGGTTATCCTGGCTTTACTGCGGATATCTTCATACCGAATTCTTCGATGCAGGGAAACGCTGAGCATCGCACTATCCATTATTTTTCTGAGCGATCTTGGAAATTCTCATACGTTCAGCAGTAGATGACCACATCTTTCTATATGTCCTCAATCGCACGTCAATAGCACGCACTGTTTGTACCCTCTTATTAAAACATGTCTTATGAAAACGTGAACAGAAGAAATATCTATAGCTACCTCGGCTGAAATCATGTACTTGCAACTTTTATACATACCTACATATAAAGTTGTAAAACAAATACTCTACCCAAACTAAACAATCAAGGAATCGAGACAATTCACGGGAAAGTTCACGTCGTATTTATTATTATCGACCTGCCAATTTCACTACTAGGAATATAAAATATTTAAGGAGAAAAACCATAATCAACACAATTTGTTTACCATCGCCGCGCCATTTAGCTGCCATCTATTGTAAGTCATAAGAACTTTTTGTAATTCCTTGTAGTCATCCCTTACGTGACACACGGAACGAATAATAATAATAATAATAAGACTGAACTTAACGCCCTGGATAGAAAAGTTCGCACCACCATGACGTCCCATAGGATGCATCATCCGAGATCGTCGGTAATGAGGCTGTACTTGCCGCGAAAGCGTGGTGGGCGTGGCTTTCTGAGCGCGCTCATCATGCATAATCGTGAAGTGTGTAGCCTCCGTCATTACTTCCTGGCGAGATCGGATGATTCCATTCTATAATGATGTTATTTCTAGTGATAAAGGGCTTACCCCTCTATTGCATAACAAGCGGGCTTGTGCAAAGACCCGCTTGTGCACATGGTCTCACCATGAAACGGCGCCGGGTCTGGGCGTCTCCCGTTGAATGACGCCCATTAAAATGGATGATGGAATTTGATAGAACGCGCAAAGGGCCGCTGCCTGGGGGTCGCCGGGGCTCGTCTGGAGCTGGCGCTGGACGTGACAGCATGCGAACCGCCAGCCGAGCGCGAGGTGCTGCTAGACCTCCTAGTAGCCCCTCGCATCCATCATCCCCACCAGCAGGCTTGGTGACGGCAGGGTCTTCGCGGGCCCAGCAATCGGCACCCGCCACTGGTGGAATACGCCGCATGCATTGGACAATTTCAATGAATAGCAACGCATTGCGGGCGTATTATAGGGCGATAGGGGGAGAAATTGGAGGTTTTGCGTATCGGGCAAGGATGCATCGACTTTTTGCTGAGATGGAGCCATCTGTAACCGTCACCGAGCAAAACCTGGCAGACCAAGATATACCGATATCTTGCGCTCAAATATATTTGATGACGCCGAACTCGAACGGCTACGACGTGAGGCTGTTCCCTCATCAAATGAAAATGCTACGGCTGAGGATGCGGTACCACAAGTTGCAGAACATCCCGCACACGTGGATACCGCCGTGAATACCTCAGTGGTGGCTGATTCAAATGATGATGGAACATTCACCCAGGAACTAGAAATAGAGCAAATGAGGAGTACATTGGAAGAGGCGATTATGGAAACGCGCAGTACGCCTCTCGAAAATCGACCGCGACTTCCCCACATAGCCCTAAGCAAGCGGAATCGGGCTGTCGTGAGGGCTCTGAACCCAATGCTGGTGACCTATTTGGAAGCCAGCCGGGACCTTTGCGATACGGACTAAATTCTTTTTGGCGCCGCGCTGGCAGTCTGCCGTATCATAGGCGCCAAGGTTTCTACGGCTGGACGCGCTACTGGCCAAAGTAGCGCTATCCCAGCATGGAGAAAAAGAATTGAGGAGCGTATCGCAAAGGCTAGAGCTCTCATCGGCAGACTGATATGCTTCAGATCAGGCAATAACAGGCCAAGAATTGTGCGCACCGTCAGGATGGCATTTGCTGGGACAATTGTCAGTTTGTCCCAGCTGGATATAATGCAAAAACTGACGGAGCACATAGATGATCTGAAGCAGAGAATCGCTGCTTGGGGAAAGCGGATTCGGCGATATACCGAGAGGTCGACTCGGTTCAACCAAAATCGTATCTTCCAGAGTGATCAGAAGAGGCTCTATGAATCATTGGAGCGGCCAATGGCAAGTGGAACGGGCCCAACACCGAATCAGGTCGACACTGTAACATTCTGGCGCGGCCTGTGGTCAGACCGTAAGCCACAGCGAGGGCTCTTGGACGGAAGTTGTGGCGAGTCAGTGTGCGAGTATAACGCCCATGGACCCCGTCATTATAACGCCGGATGACGTAGCCGAGGCGGTCCGTAGTGCCCTGAACTGGAAAAGTCCGGGACTCGACGGGCTGCATCACTACTGGCTGAAGGGTTTTGTGGTGTGTCACACTGTGCTTGCCGACAGTTCCAAGAGGCTCTCAACCAGAAGTCGCTCCCGAGCCTTTTCACTACTGGGATCACTCATTTGGTTCCTAAAGACCATGATACCACAGACCCGATCAAATACCGCCCCATGACGTGTCTACCGACCATATAAAGGACACTAACATCCATTTTGAGCGCGAGAATCACTCATCACCTGGACTCAAATCAGGTGATGTCGCCCGCTCAAAATGGATGTCGGAGCGGTGGTCGTGGAACCAAGGAACCACTTCTCATTGACGCTGTCATTGGCAAAGTGGTGAAACGCAACCGTCGGAACTTCTCCGCCGCCTGGATAGACTACAGAAAGGCATTCGACTCGGTGCCCCATACATGGTTAAAGAGAGTCCTCGAGCTGTACAAGATAGACTGTACAGTTAGAGACTTCCTCGAGCAATGTATGAGGCAGTGGAGTACGATCCTTTGTCATCTGGGCAAGCGGATGATGGCTGCGGAAAGCCACATAAGGATAAGAAGGGCTTTCTTCCAGGGCGATTGTCTGAGTCCAATCTGGTTCTGCCTCTCTTTGAACCCTCTCAGTACTTTACTGGAGGGCTCCGGGAGGGGTTTTCAGCTTCGGAAAGGAGGTACAAAAGTGACCCACCTTTTTTATATGGATGACCTTAAGTTATTCGCCTCCAGTCGCTCCCATCTTGTGGAATTGCTAAACATCACTTGTGAATTTAGCAATTCTATTGGAATGGAGTTGGTGACAGATAAATGTGCGGTCCTCCATGTTGAAAGGGGAAGGGTTGCTAACTCTAAGGGCATAGACTTATCTATGCCCATCAGTTTAAGGACCCTTTCCGATGCTGAAACATACCGATACCTGGGTGAGTCACAGAACATCGGTATCGATGAGGCTGGTATGAAACAGTCAGTTTGCGACGTGTTTTATGCACGCTTGACTAAAGTGCTCAACAGCCTTTTGTCTGGTG